CATGTTTCAATGCGTCTCTCTCACACACTAACAGCTCACTACTGAATCCAACACATGACTGAATATACACCAGATCTCCATCCTTCGTCATTTCTGATAGAAGACAACATACATCCTCCGACGGCACCTGTCATGTAGACGCTAAGCTTTTCAAACACGAGCTTGTTTTCAGATTCGCACTGGTAATCCTTTACAGACCGTAAATACCCGCAGGAATGTTTGCATGGATTTGATTATTTCTCCAGTTCTCCACAAGCCAACTCTTCTGCGCTTTGAGATGAAACTTTCATCCATTTCCGCTTGGTGATCAGACCAGCTCAGTGGTCTAAAAAGCACAGAGCACCCAAACAGGCAAGTCGACGGCCTATTGAAATGTCACAGCTGATAATAAAAGGTCAAGACTCTTGCCTGCATTTAGAGTTTCTGAAGCCAGGGCACAAGGGCCTCCTTTAGGCAATGATGAGAAAGCTCTGTGGATCCTATGCACTTTAATAGCAGAATTCATTGGACATCAGCCGTTCCTCCATTCCTCAAACGTTACCTCCATTGCTAAGGTGACCTCATGGGTAATTGGCTGCACTCTGTGGGAGGCTGGTACTCCGTGACTGATTGGACTGATTTCATGGGCTACTGAACATTGACATTTACGAGATATTCCCGCAACCCGCTGCCCTTTCTGTGCTGTTGCCCTTTGTTTCAGAGTCCTGGACTCAAAAGAGTGGAGATGCAGTGATAATGCCCATTGTTGTTAGGGCTGGCGTGACTGTATATGTCGCGTGGCGCTTCTGTACAAGCATAAGATAATCAATTGCACAATCAATAGCATAACATTTACTTCATATAAAAACACTCTGCACACTAAAAGTTTAAATGATTTTTTAAAAATGTACATTATTATTATTATTATTATTATTATTAATTATTATTATCATTATTATAATTCATGTTTCTTGGAACTTTTACAAATAATAATGGGTAAGAGGCAAAGATTTATAACGTTTTACAGAACAGTGTAAAAACGATTAGTTCACTTTTAAAAATTGATTAAAAATCAGTTACTTTTACAGCGATTCGTGGACTTCACTTTGGCAAATTGAAAATTGAAAAAAAAACTGTTGCTTTTAAAGCCATGAATTGGCTTTTATTTGACAATTTTAAGTAAATCTGTTGCTTTTAAAGCCATTAGTTGACTTTACTTTTAAAAATGAGTAAATCTATTGTTTTTACAGTGATTAGTTGACTTTACTTTTAAAAATGAGTAAATCTATTGTTTTTACAGTGATTAGTTGACTTTACTTTTAAAAATGAGTAAATCTATTGCTTTTACAGTGATTAGTTGACTTCGCTTTAAAAACATTGAGAAAATCGGTTGCATTTAAAGCCATAAGTTAACTTTACTTATAAAACATGAGTAAATATGTTTCTACAGGAATTAGTTGACTTTACTTTTAAAAAATGAGAAATATGTTGCTTTTACAGTGATTATTTGACTTAACTTAAAAAAATTAGAAAATCTGTTGCTTTTAAAGCCATTAGTTTACTTTAAAAACTTGAGTAAATCTGTTGTTTCTACAGCAGTTAGTTAACTTTACTTTTAAACATGAGTAAATCTGTTGTTTCTACAGCAGTTAGTTAACTTTACTTTTAAACATGAGTAAATCTGTTGTTTTTACAGTGATTAGTTGACTTTACTTTTTAAACATGAGTAAATCTGTTGTTTTTACAGTGATCAGTTGACTTTACTTTTTAAACATGAGTAAATCTGTTGTTTTTACAGTGATTAATTGGTTTCACTTTAAAAAATTGAGAAAATCTGTTGCTTTTAAAGCAATTAGTTGACTTTTGTTTGAAAATTTTGAGTAAACCTGTTGCTTTTAAAGGCCATTATTTGACTTTACTTTGAACATTCTGAGTTGATCTGTTGCTTTAAAAGCGATTAGGAGACTTTACTTTGACAAACTGATTAAACCTGTTGCTTTTGAAGTATTAAGTTGACTCTACTTATAAAAAATGAGTAAACCTGTTGCTTTTACAGTGATTAGTTAATTTTACTTTACAAATTCAGTAAACTTGTTTGCTTTTAAAGCCATTGACTTTTTTAATTTGAGTAAAACTGTTGGTTTTAAAGATACCCTATAATATCAAGGTGTAGTAAAATAATTAGAGATCAGTACATGAAAATGGGCAAACCATGAGCCCCAGACACCATCGTTTCCATGTTTTTATGTAATTTCCACCACGTAAAACCCTGGTGAACAACGGGCCAATCAGAAGACAAAGCAAAGAGCCAAGCCCTCCGTATTTGAATTTTAAAGCAATTAGTTGACTTTGACAGATTGAGTAAACTTGTTTTTAAAGTGATTAGTTGACTTTTAAGTTTTTTAAAGTTTTGTACCATTCCAATGAAGCTAAATATTTTTTAAAAGTGCAATGCAAAAATAGATGGTAATGTTACTTCAAGAAGTATAGATGCAAATAAATTTAATTTAAGTGCTTTTTACAAATTATGTTTGTCTGATGGTTTAAGCAAAAGCAAATGAAGTTAAATTCATTCATTTCAGGAAATTGAATCCATGATTGATGTCCAGTGTTGCTGTTTAGGGAGGACATGCAGGCTCAGTGATTGCCATCCGCTCCTATTGTGCGTATCAAATTGGTTCTTTCTAATAAAGATCTGAAGTGGCTGAACCTGAAGTGCCAATTAGAGCCAAGATATTGCTGTATAGCAGTGCTATTTTGTCGAGTGGGGGAAATAATATTTATGTGAAAATGAATAGTCTTCTTTTGAGTTCAAATGGTTCATTTGCTGCTCAGTTAACGATTAGGATGGGGCACAGATGGAGACATTTCCAGACAGGTGGACTCCTCCTTGCATGTGGAGACTGGATGGAGCTAATTGCCCCAATTAGGCTGGGAAAAACGGGGATTGATAATGATAAGATTGCAGGGGCTCAGGGCATTAGCTGCTATATGAGAGGCCAGAAAAAAATGTTTTAGATTCAGGCAAGTTTTGGCTTCCCATGTAGGCTTAAATGCAACTCTGAGGTTTACTTTAAAACTTTTTCGCTTTGAAAAGTTGACGTATTGCTTTTAAAGAGATTAGTTGACTTAAATAAGGAGTATACCTGTTTACCTTTAAAGCATTTAGTTCACTTTAAAAAAAAATGGAGTATACCTGTTTACCTTTAAAGCATTTAGTTGACTTTACTTTAACTTAAAAGTTTTTTTGAGTAAGCCTGACGTTTTTAAAGCGGTTAGTTGACTTTTCTTAGAAAATATTGAGTAAGCCTGTCATTTTTAAAGCAATTGGTTGACTTTTCCTTGAAATTATTAAGTACACCTGTCATTTTTAAAGAGATTATTTGACTTTTCTTTGAAAATATTGAGTTAGTTGACTTTTCTTTTAGATATTGTATAAGCCTGTCGTTTTTAAAGCGATTAGTTGACTTTTCTTTGTAAATATTGAGTAAGCCTGTCGTTTTTAAAATGATTTGTTGACTTTTCTTTGTAAATATTGAGTAAGCCTGTCGTTTTTAAAATGATTTGTTGACTTTTCTTTGTAAATATTGAGTAAGCCTGTCGTTTTTAAAATGATTAGTTGACTTTTCTTTGACAATATTAAGTAAGCCTGTTGTTTTTAAAGCAATTTAGTTGACTTTTCTTTAAAAATATTGAGTAAGTTGACTTTTCTTTGAAAATATTGAATACACCTGTCGTTTTTAAAGCGGTTAGTTAATTTTATTTTAATATTTTGAGTAAGTCAGTTGTTTCTAAATTGATTAGTTGACTTTTCTTTGAATATATTGGGCAGGTTGACTTTTCTTTGAAAATATTGAGTAAGCCTGTCATTTTTAAAGCAATTAGTTGACTTTTCTTTGTAAATATTGAGTAAGCCTGTCATTTTTAAAGCGATTAGTTGACTTTTCTTTGTAAATATTGTGTAAGCCTGTAATTTTTAAAGCGATTAGTTGACTTTTATTTGAAAATAATGAGTAAGCCTGTCATTTTTAAAGCAGCTAGTTGACTTTTCTTTGAAAATATTGAGTAAGTTGACTTTTCATTGAAAATATTGTGTGTAAGCCTGTTGTTTTTAAAGCCATTAGTTGACTTTTACTTAAAACAATTAAGTAAAGCTGTTGTTTTTAAGACATTTAGTTGACTTTGAAAATGAGGTTTCCTGACAACAGCCTGTGACTGAATTTCCAACTGCGAATTGTGAATTAAGCTGCAGTATTTTGGATACCCTTGAGGGGTCATGCGGCACATCCAGGTAGACTCGCAAGCTGTCTCTTGAATAAAAAACAGCTAGTAATGCAGAAAAAGAGTTTAACTTGAAGCTGAAACTGACTACTTGAACAGAAAACAGATTTAAACAAAGTTTGTTTGGTTTCTTAAGGATTAGGGTCAAGCGCACTAATCTTAGCCTCTGCTGAGTGATATAAAGATCAAAGAAGAAATTGAGGTCGATAAAGGACATAGCTTTGCATCATGATGTTATACAAATTTGCGATTTTTGAGCTGAGCTGGTCATCTTGTAAGATTTCAAGACCTTTTGCTCACCTCAAGCTAACAACTGTGCTTTTTCATCTGAGTTGGAGAGAGACTGAGTTGGAAAGCCTCCTTGAGCGCTGCTCAGTCTTGACAGGTTGAGCTTGAGGTGTTGATTATTCATTCAGGTTGAGATATCAGAGGGATATGAGATCACAGAGGTGAAAACCGATAGAGGCATGAAAACCAGCCATGATTTTATGTCGACATTGAAGAGAAAAAGAAATGCAGTGCACTGGGAGGAGGTTATTTAGTGTAAACAGAGAACATCATCAGACCAAGTACAGGTCCTTGGGGGATACCAGAGTCATCAGAATATAGAAACTGAACTGTATGTGATTTCTTTAAATATACTTTACACTGTTTTCATGCTTAACACCAAAGCTTCATCACTTTCTCTCACTTCTACCAAAAAAATCTGTTGTTTCACTGCATTTTTTTTGCACCCTCAGAGCCGTGAGCCACTCAAGCTGAGCGAGCTGAAAGCAGAAGTGTCTCCGCGTATTTCTGTGGAAGACCTCATTGACCTGTGTGAGCTGAGTGGACCAGCTTTCTTTAAAACTCCCGTCAAGAGGGCCAGGACTGGCAAACCCAAAATTCTTGCGGTGGACATCAGGAGCCTTGAAGAGTATCCTTTTTTAGTCTTACTGTTAAGGTTTTAACCCTGCACAAAAGGGTTATTTGTTTTGTTTTCTTTGTTTACTACGGGATTCAAGAGATTCAGATTTGAACTCTTTAATGCATTAATAGCCCCTTTCACACGTACAGACCTTTCCGGAAAATTACCAGCAATTTTCTGGAAAGGTCTGTATGTGTAAACAGGTGCTTTTTGAAAATACTAGTGAATTTGTTTCAGTAATTTTCCGGAAAGAGAAGTTGTAACATTACCGCTAATTTGCCAGAATGCTGCTCTTTGTAAACACAGAAGGAACATTGCCGGAGAGAGTGTGTTCAAGTCGAGAACGCGCTGACGTCTACCTTAGCCAATCAGAAAATAAATACCTTTGAATGTTTTTTCCAGACACATTTAGCTGCTAGATGTTAATGTTTCTACGTGTGTTTAAGAGAGCACTTCTGTGGTCCCAGAGGCTTAACCTATATGTCAGAACACATTAAATATCAAAAAGTGTGAGGTCAACTCTAAGCACACTCAAATTTTCCTCAAGACATGTAAAAGTCTAGTTAATCTAGTACCGTAAATGTCCCTACATCTTCTATAAACGTCTTTATGCTGTTTAAAAACAACCATTTAGAAGTTGTCTGTACATTTAAGTACATAATTGGCAATAAAAGGAAAAACATGACTCTAAGGCATTGTTGTCTGTTAGTAGTCATGACAGACCAATGAAAGTGTGGGAAAGCATTACTGTGGTTGATTTGTTTTAAGAGGTTTGCATTAGCGATGCGGTAAGTAGACACACACCAGCACACAAGAAGTCCTTCTAAATGCATGCAAGGCTTTCAGGCAGATTAAAACACTGCGTAGTGAATATAGCATAAAAGCTGCTAATGTACAGTTGAAGTCACAAGTATTAACCCTTGTGTCACAGCCATGTCACCCTGCAGCCCAAGACCGGTTACTCACTGAAGCTAAGCAGGGCTGAGCCTGGTCAGTACCTGGATGGGAGACCGCTAGGGAACACTAGGTTGCGGTTGGAAGAGGTGTTAGTGAGGCCAGCAGGGGGCGCTCAACCTGTGGTCTGTGTGAGTCCTAATGCCCCAGTAAAAGTGAAGGGGACACTACACTCTCAGTGGGTGCCGTCTTTCGGATGAAACGTTAAACCGAGGTCCTGACTCTCTGTGGTCATTAAAAATCCCATGGCACTTCTCGTGAAAGAGCAGGGGTGTAACCCCGGTGTCCTGGCCAAAGTCCCTCTATCAGCCCTTATGATCATGGCCTCCCAATCATCCCCTTCCACCGAATTGGCTCTATCACTGTCTCTCCACTCCACCAATAGCTGGTGTGTGGTAAGTGCACTGGCGCCGTTGTCCTGTGGCTGCCGTCACATCATCCAAGTGGATGCTGCACACTGGTGGTGGTGTGTAGAGCCCCCCCCTCATGATTGTGAAGCGCTTTGGGTGTATGGCCATACACAATAAATGCGCTATATAAATACACATTACATTACATTGTGTAATTTATGTATTATTTTAAATATTTCCCAAATGAAAATTAACAGAGCAAGGAATTTTTCACAGTATTTCCTATAATATTTTTTCTTCTGGAGAAAGTCTTATTTGTTTTATTTTGGCTAGATTTATGTTTTATTTTTTTATTTTATTGTCAATATTATTAGCCCCCTCAAGTAATATATATTTTTCGATTGTCTACAGAGCAATGATTATACAATGACTTGCCCAATTACCTTGCCTAATCAACTTAGTTAAATGTCACTTTCAGCTAAATACTAGTATCTTGAAAAACATCTAGTCAAATATCATAGTAATATACACTAGATATCGCATACAGACCCTGAGCATGCGTCAACAGCGCCGCCCTTCGCTAAGCCACACCCAAAAACCGTCACCCACCAATCGTGGCATAGCAACTGTAGCTACACACAGGGGCTCTGTCAAGCTTTCAAGCGAGTGCTTATGGATTGGGCAAATCTGATAGCCCGTCTCCTTAAAGTTTGAACGGCATGGTGGAATTTTTTCCCTTTTCAAAACCAAAAACCCAAGAGGAGAAATGCCAGCGTGGCTCAAGCTGTGTGAGGGGCGCTAAAGCAGCGGAGCTAAGTTAGTTTTGTTTTGATATTCCTGACACGTTCAGTGATGGACAGACGGCAATAACTCACACATCTTACCCTAAACAGACCTAAACTGTGTTTCCTGCAAAAACACAAAGCTGGTTATATTTTACAGCTGTCTTATTACTTTTTTTCACTCGATATTGTGAATAATGCTCCGTTTAAGCCTTCGCCATCACGTTAGTAACTTAGTCATCCTAAAGCGAATAGGTTATAATGATATGAGTTATTGATCTGAAAAATACGAATCTGTTGCTAACTGTACTGAACTTCTTATTTCCATCTTATTTAAAGCTACGAATATTTGAAATTACAAATCAACAGAACAAAACCGAGATATAATTACAAACTGAGCACTTGTGATCAATATACTTTACCAGCAGCTGTTTTTCAGTCATTTATAAAGAGCACACAAACATACTGACAGTAATAGGTAACTTACTATACATTGTTATGGGTCAATGATGCTAATATTCGACACAAATCCATCAATTTCCTTTTTCTGGCTGTTCTTTCTATGAATGAATAATGTAAAAGCACTGTCCATGCTTGTTTCCTCGTCGGTTAGTAGTAAGGCTATCTTTCATCGCACAACAATTAATCTCTCAGGCTTTTTGGCTAAAAATAGAGAAATCACGGTTAAATTAGTTATTATTAGATTATTTTTAAATTTCACCTCTCCTGCTGAGCATGAGCTAAGCTGTTGAATGGTCAGCGTATGGTGAGGCTAGGCTAAGCTAGCTTCAATTTTAATTGAATTGTTCTCTAATCGGTTGCCTATTATGTCATGAATATACTCCTGTAATGCACACTGCAGTCCTTTTTTTGTTCGGTTTTCTCGGATATCTCACCTGTTCGCCAAAAATGACATTATATCCCTGGCAATGTCTGACACCGGCGGACACACATTGAAAAAGCCATGCCAGGCACGAAAGCTTGACAGGCGTAGCAACAGTAACTAAGGAGGGCGGGGCTTAGCGATGGGTCCATTGTCAGTTAACCGCACTAGTCATAAGTCAATCTAAAGACGCTGGACTTATGTGTACGGATGTTGTAATGAGCAACTATTATGTTTAGAAATGTGTTGAAAAAAATCTCCTTTCTGTTAAATAGAAATTGGGAAACAAAATATACAGGAGGGCTAATAATTCTGACTTCAACTGTAGATATTCTCCATCCTCTAATTTTGCATTCTGCACCATTTATAACCATATCAATATTTGATAGAAATGTTAGACAAAGAGCTCTCTGCTTTAATGTCTGTTTAAAATCTGCATGAGCGTATGATTTATGTGCACATTTTCTATTCTTTATTCAAGTTTAATTTCTGAAAACGTCTCTTCTCCCAGTCATTTTCTGTCGAAATGGTGCAGAAGATTTGACTGTAACTTTATCTGTGGAAGGAAGGCAGTTATAAAGAGTAATTATTAAATTACACTCTGCACTCTTTCTCTGTCCTCATCTTCTCTTTTCTCTCCATTCAGCTGCTGTGTTTCATTTAGCGCTTCTCTTTGAGACGCTCATATAAACGTCATTTTCAATCCATGTCCCGGAGTCTGCTCTGCACATTGTGTTCTACATTGGTACACTGTAAAAAATATCTGTTAATTAACTTATTGATTCTTCATTTTGTGTTTTCAGTTTATTTACAGTTGTGAATTGAATTATGGGATGTTGAATTCTGCTTTGTCGACTTTTAATGTGGAAAATTCAACTCTACTGTTCAACAAAGTGACTTTTATTGACATTTTAGTAGCTTGAAATAATGTATAAGAACTAATATATAGAGACATATACGATGGTCGAGAGAGCTTAACTCCCTGAAATTTAAGAAAGCACAAGCAATTACGAAAAACACCAGCAAATAAACAAACCATCTTCATCAATTTGACAGCTCACGTGTTCCAAATTGGCCACAACACAAACAACTAAAGAAACGCGTAGGAAATTGGTCACAACACTTGCAAATATCCACATAACACAATGGAAATGCTTCATGAGGAACCAAAAACATGACAGACCCTGCTGGCATATGGATGTGTTATTATGACTGTTGCTCAGTAAAGGAGTTCTTTTTCGTTTATTTTAATATCCTGTTTACGTAAATAAACATAAATAAAAAAAAGACATAAATAAAAAAACAACATCCATATCACAGCATGTTTTTGGGTCCCCATGAAACATTTCCATGTGTTACGTGGACATTTGCAAGTGTTGTGACCAATTTGCTGCACGTTTCTTCAGTTGTTTGTGTTGTGACCAAGTTGGAACACGTGTGCTGTCAAATTGACGAAGATGGTTTCTTTATTTGCTGGTGTTTTGTGTATTTGCATGCGCTTTTTCAAATTGCTGCGTGTTAAGCTCTCTCGGCCCCCCGTAGACATAAATCTGTAAATTAACAGAAAATGTGCTGGTGGTTTATTACGTAATCTCCATGTGCTGGTGGTTTTGTAGCGTAAGATAGAACAACAACCCAGACAATATATCACTTTTAACCAATAAAAATGTTACCTTTTTAGGTTAAAAGTTGTCAGAAGAAAGATCAAACTCCCATAATGTGCTTCAAAAGCATAAATAAGTGGGAAAAAAAAATAAAAACATGAATCACAAAATACAGAAAATGCTAATTTGCGGATATTTTTTGACAGTGTGGCTCTGCTGTGGTTTTGGGACGGAGCTGGCCGCTTTCCACAAAAGCCATGGATCAGTTTGGAGTTTGTTCTGTAAATCCGGTGAACTTCACCTGACACAATTACTAATGGCCTGCTCAAGAGCTTACGAGAGATTGCGCAGCGCTTAGATGCCTAACCACAGCAGCATATGTACACAAAAGCACCTCGGGCTAGTTTCTTAATACGCCGTGATGCTCACATTAGTGGTGAACCTCATAATGCTCTACAGTTTTATTCTGGAACATGATGTGGACTCTTTATCCATCAGATAATGAAACAAAACTACATTTGGCCGGGCCATGGCTCAGTGGTTAGCATTGTCTCCTCACAGAAAGAAGGCTGTGGGTTCAAGTCCCGACTAGGCCAGTAGGCATTTTTATGTGGAGTTTGCATGTTCTCCTTGTGTTGGTGTGGGTTTTCTCTGGGTGCTCCAGTTTCCCTCACAGTCCAAACTCATGTGGTATAGGTGAATTGAATAAACTAAATTGGCCATAGTGTATGAGTGTGTGTGTGTGTGTGTGAACATGAGTGTGTATGGGTGTTTCCCAGTACTGGGTTGTGGCTAGTAAGCCATCCGCTGTGTAAAACATATGCTGTATTAGTTGGCGGTTCATTACACTGTGGAAACCCTTTAGAAATAAGGGACTTTAGAAATAATAAATTTTTATTGCCTAATCAACAACAACAACAAAAAATTATAAGAAAAAATAAAAATAAGATAGGCCTACTTTGACGTTGAAAAAAAGTATTAATTATCAAATATATGTATATATATGTGTATATATATGTATATATTTATGTGTATATATATGTATGTATATATATATATATATATATATATATATATATATATATGTATGTATATATATATGTATGTATATATATATATATATATATATATATATATATATATATGATAATTATTATAATATATAAATATAAAATTATATAATATTATTAATTATTTATATAATATTATAAATTATATATTTGATAATTATACATTTGTTTTTATTTTATTTCCTCCCAGTTTTTATTATATATATATATATATATATATATATATTAATTATCAAATAACAAATAACAATAAAATATAAAATATATATACAATAGAAAACCAGTTGCCATGTAACTTAAATTCAACAAACGGACCATGAAAATACAGTGTGACCATAATTTGTGTGTGTGTGTGTGTGTGTATAGTTATAATAGTGTGTTAATGATAAGATTTTTTTATTGCTACATTTAAAACAGTTAACACATTATTAATGTAGTTTTTTTTATTATATATGATTAAAAACAGGACCCATAACTGTACGTGTTTGAATACATCTTTACATTAAAAAAAGTGTTTTTTTTAAGCATTTTAGTAATAATTTTTTTTGTTTGTGCTTTTGTTCTGTTTAATTTTGTTTTAATTATTGTTAAACTGATTTTTTAAATATATAAATCCTTAACTGTGGGTGTGCAGCTTCAGTCGAGGCCACATCTACGGCAGCATTAATATTCCATACACCTCCACGTTTGGACCAGAGGGAGAGCTGCTCCAGTGTCCCGCTAGCAGCAGCCTAGCCGGATACAGACTCCGCGTCATCGTCATCCTCAGCAGCGTCATGAAGAACGCTATCACTGTAAGCCTACTTCATATCTCTAGATGGTCATCAATACTGTTTATTTAAGATCAATATATTAATCCAATTTTGATGCATACAGTGGGGAAATTAAGTTTCGAACACGTCACCACGTTGTACTTGAAATTTTCCCCCGATGTCTGTAACAACCAAAGAAAACAAATCTAATTACTTTACAAATGAAGTTCTGTGTAATAAAATGAAATGACGCAGGGAAAAGTATTGAACACATGAGAAAGGGAGGTGTAGAAAGGCAGTGAAAGCCCAGACAGCAGCTGAAACCTCTCAGTAGTTCTTCAGCAACCCTTTGCCGGAATAGTTGTTGGTTCATTCCGCTGTGACGCCATCTGATAAATAAGATGAATCGCATACTGAATTAATAATAATCACACATGTTAATCACTAAATTTTCTTTCTTTTTTTTTTCTTTTTTTTTGTTCTGCTGTAGTTTGCGACTCATCTGGTGAAGGTGAATTTCCCTCGTGTTTGCGTTCTGGACGGTGGAATGAACAAGATGAAGTCCACCGGCCTGCTGACAGTCCCGTCCCCTCAGATATAACAGATGAACTTTGGTTAAAGGGAAGCTGTTGTTTACACGCTAATACGTTATATTCTGTAAAGTGTGTGGTGATTTCGGCATTATGCATGTCAGCACTGAAAAGCTTGAACTTGAAAACGAAAAGCAAAACTACACAGAGGCGTTTCAACTTTTGGGACCAAACTAATTGACAAATAAAATGTTTGTTTTTTTACTTTGGGTTTTCGGGTCATATGTTTTGCTGTTTTCACATGGTCGCTCTAAACCCCGCCTTTCTAAGAGCCTGTTCAGATTGGTCAGATGGCTCATTCAGAGCTGCATAAAGCCTTTTTGAGTTTTAATAAGGTCAGATCAGGGTATCTTCCGTCCATTCCATATCTGTTTTCAAACAATAAAAGGAAAATTTAAAAAAGGGATTTTTTAGGTCTTACTTTTGCTCAGACTTTGGCTGGATTTTCGTTTAGGTTTAGAGTTGGAAAACAGATAAACGACTTTAAAATTCATTATACACATGCAGGCGGTGCTGAAATGCCCCCCCTCTCTCTCTCTCTCTCTCTCTCTCTCTCTCTCTCTCTCTCTCTCTCTCTCTCTCTCTCTCTCTCTCTCTCTCTCTCTCTCTCTCTCTCTCTCTCTATATATATATATATATATATATATATATATATATATATGTGTGTGTGTGTGTGTGTACAGTTGAATTCCGAATTATTAGCCCCCCTTTGATTATTTTTTCTTTTTTAAATATTTTCCAAATAATGTTTAACAGAGCAAGGAAATCTTCACACTATGTCTGGTAATGTTTTTTCTTCTAAAGAAAGCCTTGTTTGTTTTGTGTTTTATTTTAGCTAGAATAAAAGCAGTTATTATTTTTTTTAAACACGATTTTAAGGTCAATATTACTAGCCTCCTTTAAGCTAAAAGTTTTTTCAATAGTCTACAGAACAAACCATCATTATACAATAACTTGCCTAATTACCCTAACCTGCCTTGTTTACCTAATTAACCTAGTTAATGTCACTTTAAGCTGTATAGAAGTGTCTTGAAAAACACATATTCAAATATTATTTACTGTCATCATGGCAAAGAGAAAATAAATCAGTTGGGGGAAAAAAAGATATATATAAATATAACGCATAAATATATGCGCTTACACTGGGACCTTGGTACCGAAAGAATAAACTGATCAGAATTCTTTAGTGACCGACCAGGATTATATACATGTAGGAGGTCTGATATGTAAGCTGGTGCCAGATCATTGAAGGATTTAAAAACAAAAATTAATAGTTTAAAAGCAATCCATGACCCAACAGGCAGCCAGCCCAGAGAGGAAAGAACTGGGAAATGGGTTCATACTTGCATCCTGTCAGAAGTCTTGCAGTCGCATTTTGTACAAATTGCAATCTATTCAGGGCATTTTGACTAATACCCACATATAGAGTTGCAACAGTCAAGTCTTCCCACAATTAAAGCGTGGATCATCTTCTCAAGGTCATTAAAAGAGAGAAATTACTTTATTTATTACCACAAGTCATAAATGAAAAAAAAACTGCATTTCACAACTGTATTTACTTGTTTGTTAAATTTCAGATCACTATTAAACTGAAACCCAAGGATTCTAACAACAGGTTTTTGATAAGTTAATAGCTCACCAAACCTAATAAATGCAGAGGGTTAGGATCGCCAAATCAGACCAGATCAGTTTTTTCCTCATTGAAATGTAAAATGTTTGACGACAGCCAGGTCTTAACCTCGATTAGACATCTCATAAGGGAATCATGGCCATTATTATCATTATTTTTAAGAGGGACATAAATCTAAGTGTCTAAGTGCACAAAAATAAAAATCCACCCCATATTTGCAAAAAATAGATCCTAAAGGTAAAATATATAAAGAAAAGAAAATAGGCCCAAGGTAAATGTAATAACAGATTTCAGCCAAACTCAGTTACTAGTGAACTATCATTTTATCCAGTGAAAATAATGAACGGCTGGCATCAACAAGTCACATCTGAATTTCATCACGAAGCCCTTCTTGCGAACGGTCAGAAAACCATGTTAAAGTCTCGTCCTATGTGTTCCTTTGTAGAATATTCGGTTTTATTCTGAAACGTGTTAGAAAATTGGTTGAACAGTGAGAATTAAGGCACCTTGGAGGACGAAAAACCTGTAAAAAAAAAAAAAAAAAAACTAGCAGAGAGTGTTATGCTAAACAGCGGACGATATTCTGTGGGCGAGAGAAGGCCTAATTAATGTCTGGACCAATTCAAGCTGACAGAGAGGTCAGGGAAATTTAAATAAGTGCATTAGTGTGCGCGCTCTTTCTCCAAACCAGCGTGATGTTTAACGTGAACGGCTTTGTAGAATCGGAAATGCAGGAGAAACTTTATTTTAGTAGCACTGAATGAGGGAAAACTATAAAGATCCAGAAGGTATGTGATGGTGGGGAAAAAATGGGCGGTGAAAAAGTGATATGAAAATATGTTTTTACGTTTTTGTGTTCCCTCGCAAAGATGTTTTGCATTATCTCACAAAACTCATGTTCCACAAACACTTCCTGTTCACTTCATAAATGTCAACCCTCCTGTTTATTGCTGGGATTCTCTCAGATTTCACCATTCTTTCTCGCTATCATCCTATTATTAGGTATTTTCCCATATTTCTGATATATTTTTAATCCTGAAAGCACGTTGAAATCATTATAAAAATGTCTGCACTCACTTTCTTTCCAATAAAGCTGTGCGGTGATCCTCACCCGTCATCAGTGTTGGGAGTAATGCGCAACAGAAGTAATGTATTACAGTAACATATTACTTTTTCCTGTAATGCAGGAGGCATTACTAATACATTTTCAGTAATATTTTACTCAGTGGATGTCCAGTAACGCATGCGTTACAACAAACTTTGTAACTTCGCAAGACATTAACAAATAGAAAATACCACAAGTAAGTTCTATTTCCTGCTTGTGTATTAGTGAATATACGCGTGTGTTGTTGTCAATCTTCCTCCATGGCGTTATTTCACTGACAAATGTCGTAAGCGTAGTATTAGAAGTCGAGAGCGTATTCATGTAATACAAGTGAGTGAATATCTTTGCTTACGCGCCAGTTTACTCTGTTCATAGACAATCAGCTGGAAATCTCTTAAATTTACGCTGCCCGTGTGCAGTACTTCTCGCGTATAGGCTTGGGTGGTATCCAAATTTTCATACCGTCAAACCTCCTACCTATTTTACCCCGGTATCCTGTATTACCCTGCATAATAAAAGAAATTACGACGTAGGGCTCAGACAGCCTCACCAAACTGTTGGCTTGTGCCTAAACCATTCAAAAACTGAATAACGTATATGCGACGTTAGGTTCCCGGTCACCTGTTTGTCTTGTTCGTATTAGAGATCTGCGCAGGATGCTCTCTCATTTACACACACACACACACACACACACACACACATACACACACACACACACACATACAGAGACAGCACCAATCGACGCACAGCACTACCCTCTCTCTCTCTCTCATTCACACACACACACATACACACAAACATAGAGAGAGCACCAAGCGACACACAGTATCACGCTCTCTCTCATTCACACACACACATAAACAGCATCCATGCGGTTGTGCGTGTGCTCGCTCACTCGGGAGTGATATTGCTAGACCCGCTCCCTTTCAAATTACACCAGAGTTACCGACCGCTCCCACACTTTATTCAGAAATGTATTCCCGCACCGCAGGAAATCTGGTCGGCTCTCGCGGTACAGCAGCGGGAATGCAGACCTCTAGTTCGTATTTACTACGTCTTTCTTCTCATTTGGTCGAAACCAAAAATATTGCACAACTGCAGAGGTTGCTTGGTGCGCGACTCGACATCTTACCGCTCTCTCTCTCACCTCCACACTGTCCCGTGATGACAATCACGCATTCGCATTTGTAGGCACTGAATAATTAATATTTATTATTTAATACTTGTCTCCTATTTTAGTGCATTGTTTTTTATGACAATATAACGGTATTGAAACTGACACCATTGCTGTTTTCAGATCCTTCGGTATACCATAATACCATATTACCGCCCAAGTTTTTTTATTTTAAAATGTTAAGCTGTAATTCTGTAGTGATTTTGATGAAAGTAACTAATAAGTAACATAAGTGTAATGTAACATATTACAATTCTGAGACAGTATTGTTGTAATGTAAGAGATTACTTTTAAAAAACAGTAACAAGTAATCTGTAATGCATTACAGTTTGAAAGTAACTTGCACAACAAATCAAAACGATTGTTTATCAGGAAATCAAATTATGTTAATCTCATATTTTTATTCTTTAATTTTTTTATTCTTTTTTTATGGCTCAAGAACTGAAATGTGATCCATTTTGTAAACTGACTAGCAATTAGTAAAAATTCTAAATCAGTTGAATTGATATCAATAATTAGCACATTAGCTATAGAAAACTGAACCATTGCTATTAAATTCATATTGTGTGTGTTCTTCTGTCCATTCCACATCCGTTTGCAAAAAAAAAAAAAAAAAAGGCAAACTTAAGAAAACAGCTGTTTTTCTGCTTTTCTTTTGCTCACTGTTATTTGGTTTAGGGTAGGAAAATGGAGAAACGACTTTAAAATTCATTTTACCCATGTAGGCGGGGCTGAAACACCCTTTTCTGTATATGCAACCTCTGAATCAGTGAATGCATGTATAAGCGCTGACTGACGGATGTGCTCCGTAAGATAAACTGATCCCAGATCAGCTTCTGTACATGGCATTTAAAGGGGAGCAAAAGTGCAGGACACTTTGGGATTTCGGTGTTTAAACAGGCAAATACTCTAAATAATATGTAAACATGTCCGTCCTGCGTGCTTTATTTTAAACACAACTCATTTTCTTCTACATGAGCATGAACAGGGTCACGAAACACCAAAACGTCTTTGTTTGGGAACGCAAAATCTTTAATAAAACATATATATTTTCCTATGACTGTTTTTTTCCTCAACCAATTTTGTCCCCCATCATCACATCTCTTCCGGGTCTCCGTAGAAAACCACTTTTATATGAAAGCTTGTTTTTTAGAGCTACAAATATAGCTTACATGTATATGATGTCAAAACTGAAGTCTGACAGACATTAAAGACCCCCGCATAATATAACTCATCATTCTGTCACCCACATGTCCATCCAAACCTGCATGTTTTCACACCAAAGCGAATGTTTT